TTACTCACAGTGATCTGCCGGTGGATTTGATCTCGTGCTTGACCCTACACATTTCATGAACATAATGGGTCACAAACGATTCAATCCGTTCTTAATTCATACATCCCTCCTAGGCTTCTTTCTTATTATTTTAACTCATTTACAATGCTTAATGTATGCCTAAGGGTACTTAGAAATGAAAGAGAACGGAAAATGAAACACAAAACATCTTTACAAAATTTCTGAAACAGGGCTCCCCGCTCGAGCGTGGCTTCTGTCGCTCGAGCGGACCCCTTTGGTCTGCAAAAGTACTGGTTGCCTCACTTTTACGCTCGAGCGTGATTTTGGACGCTCGAGCTGAAAGTCAAACTATGTGGCTTGGAGCTCGAGCGTAAATCTCTCCGCTCGAGCGGACATCAATGTCTGCAAAACTTCTAGGAACTAGCATTTCACGCTCGAGCGGCCGTTACCCCGCTCGAGCAGACATGCCGAATTATGGGTTTTTCAACAAGCTGTTTGAGCTCAAACTTGCATTCAAACTAATGTAACTTGCATATTATGACTCATACTTCACATACACATCCTCTAACATGATACAAATGCGAAATTACAACATTATGAAGCTCAAATCCTATGAATCAATCACATGCATACTCAAATTATACCAAATCTATCTCCAACACATCAAATTCATGCATTCAAAACTCATACCTCCATGAATTGTACTTGCATGTGGGATATAACTTTCATTCTCAACTTAAATGATGTAGAGATGTTCAAAAGCATGAACTTTAATCAAAATTCAACATGGATCATGTATTTCATGCTCAAATATACAAATTCTTGGCAATTTCTTACATGCATGCATTCATTGGCCTCAAATTCACCAAAATCAACTTCATTCATATTCTTGATTACCATTTAACCTTAAATCCACAAAATTACAACTTATACTCATAAATCTTTGCTCAATTACTCACCTAGGAGCTTCAATCCTCACAATTGTAGTTAAATCTTGAGTTGATCTTCAAATTCTTTAAGTTTCTTGCTCAAATCTCCAATTGCCTTCACTCCCTCACTCTAACCGACCCTCTCTCTCTTTCTCTAGAGTAATCTCAGCCAAAATGAATTAAAGAGGAGGAATTGAGTGTAATAAGGCTCCTTATATAGGCTTTCCTAATCAAGTTTAATTAGGCCAAATAATGGAGCTTAATTTAATCGTTCTGAATCTAATTACTTTGATCCGAATCAATTTTCAATTAAATTTCATCATAGACTCTAAAAATTATGCTAATCATTATGGCGTAATCAATTTTAGTTTCTGTGGCCGATAAGGCCTTCAATTTAAATTCTAAAGCAGAAAATCAAACAAATTTTTCTATGGTGAACAGATAGAATTACAGAAACACATATAATCATGTAATTATCACAATCATAATTAAGATCAATTAGCATAATACGGAACAGGGTTATCACATTAGGATCAAAACTTTTATAGATGAACACACATGCAACAAAACATTTGATGTGCCACATGTGAATAGTAGATGGATTGTCAATAGGTATTGGGAAAGGATTATGTTAACCTTACCTGGCCAATTAAGTCATCGGCATACACCATTACAACAGAGCACAATGTCAAAGTTGACATGCAAAAAGTGAGAAGGGTAAAAAATAAAGCTATCGCAATGATTGAGGGTACTTCAACTAAACAATTTGCAAGGCTTTGGGGTTATGTAGAAGTGATTAGAAGTAGTAATCCAAGAACAACAATATGCATGAAGGTGAAAGAACTTCCAAAAGTTCATGAAGAGGATGAGCAAATGTCCAAGTTTAAGAGATTGTATTTGTGTTAGGGTCCATTGAAGAAGAGTTTCCAAAATGCTTGTAGGCCAGTCATTGGAGTGGATGGTTCTCATTTGAAGGGGCCACATGGTGGAGTGTTGTTGACTGCAGTGGGGATAGATGCAAATAATTATATATTCCCATTTGCATATGCCATTGTTGAGAAGGAGAAGAAGAAAACATGGTTGTGGTTTTTGAATTTGTTGCGGCAAGATTTGAATATTGTGAATTTCCATTGTTACACTTTCATGAGTGACAAACAGAAGGGCCTAATTGATGCAGTGGCTGAGCTGTTTTCAAATGCCTTACATAGGTTCTGTGTAAGGCATTTGTACAACAATTTCAAGGGTCAATATAACGGTAGGGTATTGAAGGATTTGTTATAGAAGGCAGCCAGGGCAAGCACTGTTGGTGTATTCACCAAAGTCATGAAAGAAATGAAAAGAGTTGATGAACAAGCATACAATTTGTTAGATGAAGAGCAACAATCCATTGGAGTAGGAGTCACTTCGACAATTTCCCCAAGTGTGACATTTTGTTGAATAATCTTTGTGAGTGTTTCAATTCAAGCATATTGCAGGCTAAGGATCAACCTGTGTTGTCCATGTTAGAGAAGATAAGAGTTTTGTTGATGGAAATAGTTCAAAAAAGAAATGAAGCAATGAAAAGGTACAACAAAAGTGATATATGTCCTAAGATTCAGAAGATTTAGGAAAAGGTAAAGGTGAGTGCAACTGGATGGATTCCAAGACGGAATGGGGGTTCCCAATATGAAGTTATTGGCCCATATGGTGAGCAATATAAGGTAGACTTGAAAGAATGGACTTGTGGATGTAGGAAATGGGATTATGGTATCTATCAGGCCTTCCTTGTGTCCATGTTGTGACTGCTGCAAACTATATGGGTGAAGAACCAGAAAAGTATGTGCATCATTACTATAAGGTTGAAACCTACTTGAGGATTTATGAGAACATGTTGAGTCCAATCAATGGTAGACAAATGTGGCCAACAACTCAATATGGTAAAGTGCTACCACCTGATGTGCAGAAGAGAGCTGGGAGGCCAAGACTGAATAAGAGGAAGGACACAGATGTCCCAATTGATGTAACTGATTCAAGTAAGCTGGGAAGGAGTGGAATTCAGATGACATGCAATAATTGTGGCAAGTTGGGACACAACAAGAGGACATACAAAGTCAAAGGCCGATTCACCTACCTGAAAGATCCTGTGAGTTCCACTCAAGTAATTCATATTTTTTTATGCATTTTGTTAACTTACACATTGCTAACTTTTGTTTTTTAGTTTTTGCAGTCCCAACATGAAGGAAGCCAAGGGTAAACCCAGATTGATGGGAGCCAAACTCAAAGTCAAGTAGAAGGAAGCCTGGTTGAGAGTCAGGTTACAGAAGCAACTCAAGTTAGGAAGAAGAAGTTGGCTGTAAGTTTTACAAAGGCCCTATTTGTTACTTTAAATAATGTCTTCCTTGCATATGTCCTAACAATGGTGATGGCTATTGCAGGTAAAAATGAGAAAGGTTATGAGAACAAGTGACTCAACTCCATTGCATGCAAGTCAGGATGTGTAGGGGTCTACAGTAACTTCCAATACTAACATTTCTCTACAAGGTCAAATGAGATGGAGAGGAAGAGTGGTGTACAATGCTAGTGCTATCAAATCTCTTGTGGGTCAAACCAAGAATGCAACTGACACAAAGTAATGGATGTGAAGGACCACTATTGTTTTTTTTTTTTTTTAAATGTTCGAGAAGGTTTTTGCTACTTTTGTTCATGAAATACAATGTAATGGATGTGAATGTTTTTGCTACTTTTGTTCATATTCCGTAACCTTCATAGTGGCAGGGGATTTTTGTACATTTGAAGCCTGGTTTTTGTATTGACTGTCCCTTTCTTAGTATATGTTTTGCACAGCATAAATGACAAGTGTGTCAATTGATCAAAGTTTGAATGTTAAATTATTGTATTTCTGCTACTGTTTCCAAGTCTTGATGTTCATTGGTGATGTTCACAGTTGTTGATGTTCATTGTTCATTGGCGATGTTCATTGTTCATTGAATTTGGAGTGACAATTATGGTCACAAATTGTGTCCCAACTTTTGTGTGTTTCCTTTGTCTATGTCAAAGTTATCAAACACAAAATAATAGAGACAATATTAATAAGTCACCATGCATACAATTTTCATCTCAAAAACATATTTTCCATTAACAACAGTTCACCCATTGCATATGATTCATAAACAGGATACAGACTCCATTCATTCTTACACTACCATACAACTTCAAACTTTATATTACAAACCATATTCCTACAACCAACCATGACAAAACCAAGCAAATCCATAGTTTCCTCTCTTCCAGTCCTTCTCTTCAATTGTGCTTCCATCTCATTCAACTTCTTTAATAGCCCAAGAATGATCTGCACTGCCCGATCGCATATTGGTGGGTCTACCCTGGTAAAGTGATTGAAACCATTGTTAAGGCAACTAAGAAATCTCCTCCCAGGATTTGTGTCGGTCCATGCTGTGTATCAGCCTTCTTCTTCCACAAAAATTGCAAAACATCTCGTCTACACCACTTACGTTCCATCTCCCTTGATTTCTTGAGCTTCAATTGTTCCTCATTTCTTCTCTCCCACTAATTTCATTGATGCATTTTATTTTATTTTATTTTTTATTTTTTTTTATTTTTATTTTTTTGCAATGGTCTCTATTTTTATAGGTTAAAGGGAATACAAGGGAATGTTAGGTTTTGGGGGGGAAAGCCTTAATTTTCCCTCCATGTGAAAGTATAGGAGGCCACATCATCCATTCCGTCCACTTTCTTGACGGAAATAAACGACAGAGATAAAATTAAAAAGAATTCACATAGTATGAGGATACACGTGAAAATAGTAGTATGGGGGGTCATTGAAAATCGTGACAAAGTATAAGTGTAAAAATGAAATAATCTCGATTTATAAATTAGTAAACCAAAAAAAGAGAGTATAATTTCAATTAAACGAATCCTATCGATTGTGAACTAATTGTATCCATGGAGAATAATTGAATATGAACCGATACATGTCAAGAATTGGTCAATACAAATAATTTTTAATCTCACCAATATATGATATATATGTCCATATCGAAAGAGCAAAGATTATAATTCTATAGACTAACCATTAATATAGAGTCGTAAAAATATCAAGCTATGTCACATGGCCTATTTGAATACCCCCAATAGAAATAATTAAAATTTATTTAATTATAAACTGTAATTTATCATTACAGTATTATTATTATTTGAACAAATAAAAATTGTAATTTACAATCCATCCTTTGGTCTCAACAATATCAAACGCAAGAAAGAGACTCAATAAATGGAAAACAAAGGCGCCTTCCACCAAAACTCACAGGTCGACCTGGAGCTGAAGCAGCAAAATCACAGAGCTTCTTCAAACTCTTATCCTCAAAACTGTACCGCATCACCTTACCATTTATGTGCAACACCATGAACGACGACTCCCCCCCATCTGTTGTTTCTCTCCGACAACCGAAAGTATAACAAAGTTGTAGAAATTCAAGTGCTCTGCAATTGTTCTGGTTGGAATCTCCGAACAACCGAAAGTATAACAAATTTGTAGAAATTCAAGTGCTCTGCAATTGTTCTGGTTGGAATCATCTCTGGAAATTCAGCAGCAACTGAACCAAGGTCGATTCGATACTTCACAAACCACTCTGAACGGTCTCTCTAATTCATAGATGTTGAACTGCGTGTTTGGAGGACGATACCTCTCGATCAGATGCAAATGGTCACCCGACTCCCCAAAATAGTTAAACCACCTCCGATCGTAGCCTGATGGAAGTGGAGGCATCGACATTATTTGAAGACATTTTTTATCAACAACAAAACACAACGGATCTCCCCGGATGCTGAGCCAATGAATTGCGCCATTCCAATAAACCCCGCAATTGAATTGAATGTTAACATGAGCAATGAAAGGTTGACCAGAAACCCTCCAAGGACCAGTATTGGAGGAGTAGATCTTGATCTGGTAATGCTCAGAACTGAAGTCTGAGCTCTGAACACACATAACTTTGTAGTGAGGCGATTTTGCAGGATTGAAAGCGAAATTCACACCGTGAACGGGTCTTGGAGAACCAAAACCCAGTGTAGGAAGTGTAGTGAACTGTTTGGTGGTGTGATTGTATACATAGTATTTGCGTTTAAGGTTATGAGTTTGAGAGCTGCAACAGAACAACAATCCATTGCAAGATTGTAGAATTTTTAAACCAGATGGATCGGGGATGAAAGTGAGAATTCTGAAAGGGGGAGTGAAGGTGAGTGGGTCATTGAAAGAGACGAATTCATATTCTGGGTTGTTGAGTCGGGACGAGCGGTGCAACTGTAGGAATAGGCTAGAAGGGATGCCGGTTGAGGATTTGGTGGCAGTGAGAGAAGTAGGGGTGAGTGATGAGAGAGAGCCAATGTTTGGAAACCGATTTGAACCGGAAGAGCAATCTTATGGGTAGATGCAGTAAGGTTTTTGTCAAGAGGTCGGCATTGGAGGCGATAGTATCGGCAGACAATGCAAGGTGGTAGTGGTGGTGGTGGGAGGCCTCGGAGACAGAGGCTAGGCGGCTTCTTTTGATGGATAGCATTGTATCGTAGTGATGGTATCAAATCTGAATTGTGTGTGATGTATAAATATGGTCTTCTCTCCTTCAGTCTCTTTTTTTTTTTTTTTTTTAAGTCTTTCCTCTTTCTTGATGTATAAATATGGTCTTCTCTCCTTCAGTCTTTTTTTTTTTTTTTTTTTTAAGTCTTTCCTCTTTCTGTATTCAAAGCTTGTTCTGTACGTGTTACGAGAATGTTTCTAAATAAAGGGCATGTTCTTTGATAATTCATTTCTCAAGACTTTTTTAAACATTATTTTTAAGGCAGACCACTTCAACACTACAATCCAGTTTCAAATAAAACATTTTAATTAATTTATTGTAAAAATGATTAAACTTAAGTTTTTACAACACGATTCTTGAAGTCATGTTTTGAAATAGTGCTATTAACAGCACCCATCAAACTTCTCTGGAACACTATTCCGAACCCCATTTCAAATCTATTTTTTTAATTTATTTTTTTTTTAAATTATTAAGAATAAGTTTATGAACTCACCCTTATCTATCCCGAATGACGATGTGTGATTGTGATTGAATTTGTGTAATGTAGAATTTATGTCTAGAATAAATCTAAATCACAAAATAATTCTGAATAATTTCTGAATAGTTAAGTCTAAATTTGTAACATTACAAAATTATTAAATTTTTTAACTCTTTTTTTAGACCCTTATCCTCGTTTGGCAAGTGATGATTTTAGCTAAAAAACTAAAGTCACGAAAAAAATTAAAAAGCTAACAACTTATACAAAAGAGTCAAAGATTCCATTTTCTCTCTACTTTTTCTACATCTTTTCGTAAAAAATCAAAAAATCACCCCAAACATAATTTTTTTACACCATATTTTAGCCAAAAAAGTAAAAAAATTACTAAAAAAACATGTTCTCAAACGAGGCTTTAAATTCACAATTCTACTTTCATTCCTAACTTTTGAAACCTAACTTTAGTCTCCCCCTCGACTTCCACTGTAGCAATTGAAACAACCACATCTAAAACCCACTCCCAGCGAGAAATTATTTGGTAGTCTTGCGACACAACCACGTGATACCCTAAGTGTGTTGTGAATGGTGGAGAGAGTGAGACTCACGATTTCGTGTTGGGTGGTTGAAAAACAATAGAGTATGGTAGTTTGTAATTGGTCAAGGACATGGCCACGTGATGTTCCTAGATCATGAAATAAATTTTCCTCTCAACCCTAGTGCCACCCCCATCGTGCTCCTCCCCAACCTTCCACCTCTCTTGCACACCTCCGCAACCTTCCCATATGCACCATCATGACTCTCTTCTTGATCTCTCTCTGTCAAAAGGGTTGGAGGGGCTAAAGCGGCGACATCGAGGAGAGGGTTGCAGTTGCTAGATGAGGGTGGCAGAATGGAGAGGAAATAAGGTAGGGGCCATCAAGAGAGGAGATAAGGATGGATGGCGATATGTAGGTGGAAATGGGGTTAGCGGTGGAGATGGGGATGGGGTGGAAGGTGGTGTAAGTTAGTAAGGAGTTTGAGAAATGGCGAGGAGGTGAAGAATGGGCTACCAAAGGTGAGTAGAGGCTTGGAAGTGGCAAATGAGGGTGGCCAGAGTTAGGGATAGGCGGGGGAGAGTGCTCAAAGTTGTTGCTGGTGGGTGGCGGTTAGGGGGAGATAGGGTTAGGTTTTTAGGGGTTTGTAAGGGCAAGGGTGGGATAAAATTGGAATTTTATTTTAAAAAAAACACACCCAATTAATACACATTAATGTATTTTATGATGGGATAAAATTGTAATTAAAAAATATGAAGGGATTCCAAAGAAAGAAGTGTGGTGCTATTAGTAGGGTGGCCACCAGTCGAGCCAAGTTGGGTTTGGGCAAAGCTTGCACCACCTGATAAGAAATTTTGTATCTGTCCAAATCAAGTCCAACCTGAACATCAAGCTAATATAGTCATCTCAAGCCTAACCCCAAAGGAAATATAATTCCCAAATTTAACCACTTATATATATAGACTAATTTTTTAAAAACAAAATGCAATAAAACTTGTTTCTATAAAAAATAAAAATAAAAAAAAAAAATGCATTAAAACCATTCAATCTAACATTCCAATATACAACAAAGATTATTAACAAAGAAACAATTAAACAGTCATGTTAAGTTAAACAAAGTGTCTACTCATTAACAGAGTTCAACAAATAGTCAATAATAATAATTGATATGATGAAGCAAATAATATAAATTAAAAAAGACAAAAGAATAACAGAAATGACGGGGCTACAATCTACAGAAAGAGAGAAGCTGAGATCAAATAAGGGGGAATGGAAGAGGGAGAGTTACAGTGGTTGAGCTGAAGTTGATTAAAAGAAATAAATAAATAAACAAAACAAATAAACAGATTAGTTGCATAATATTGGAGCATAGAAGGGGTATTTATATATTTTTCAGTAGGAAAAGCCTATGGTGTGCACCCTATCACAAATTGAAGTAACTTTACGATAAAATTTTGTACCATTAACCACAAAATACAAAATCTCTTCATAAATTAATGTAACAAACTGTCCAAAATTTTGTGATTCATGTTACAAATGTTTGTGGCTTGGTTATAACTTAGCCTGGCCCTCCTGGCCAGAATAGCATTCCCAAGCCCTCTAAAAAAATAGGATTGGGTGGACCAACGAGACAATACCTACCTCTAGTTATAAGCACTCATTTTGAAAACCCGATTTCACAAAACAGTAGAAATTTAAAATATAAATTCAAAAAATACTAAACTTTTAAAAAATACTTTGAAAAAAAGTATATATATATAATTTAGTTAAAAACTCCACCACATTATCTTGTTCCTAAACTCCATTGTGGTGTTTTTACATCTACTTAAAAGAAATTAAATTTTGTATTTTTCTTTATACACCCCCATAATATTCCCTATCAGTGTTTTAAAAGGCGCGCTTAGACGCACGCACCTAAGCATGAGGCGCAATGAGGCGTAGCCTTGCGCTTCAAATAGGTCAACGCGAGGCGCAATACGCAAGGCGCAACTTAAGGACTGAGGCGAGGGCCTTTCTTTGAGGCGCGAGCTGCGGGCTTCATGGGCTTTACCTTTTTTTTCTACTCCAACTGTTGATTAAGTACTTTTTTTGTGGGCATACCCACAGGAAATAAAAATTCTTCAATATAAAATGGCCAAATGTGATCAAAAGTGAGCAGAAATTGATTATAAAAAAAAAAATCCTAGGTGAAGAAGATTAAAAAAAGCGATTAGAAAGTGAGAAGATGACACGACTTCAGCTTCTTCACTTCTTCTTCGCTGGTTCTCTTTCTCTTCCTCTATTCTTCGATGAGTTCTTTTGGTTGGGTTATCTCTCAGCCTCTGTTTTTTGTTTATTTATTTTTCTTCTCTTCTTTTCTTATTTTCTTCTTCTCTTCTTCGATGGGGTTCTCTTCATGGGTCTGCCTCTGTTTTTTCTTTTCTTATTTTTCTTCTCCTCTTCTTTTCTTATTTTATTCTTCTCTTCTTCTTTTCTTGTCCTACTTTTTCCATGGGTTATCTGTCTATTTTTTCTTCTCTTTTATGCTTATGAAGCTTGCTTTATGATTTTTAGAATTCTATATATATTTGTTAAGTTGAAATGTTTGCCTATTTTATAATTTTGCTTTTCTTCTACTACTTGCACCTCGCGCCTAGGTTATAGGAAACCTTATTGCCTCGATGCGATTGTTCCCTACTATACCATTCCTAACCTTCCATCTTGTTTCTTCTACACACTCCCTCATAGTTCCTCTCTCTCTCTCTCTCTCTCTCTCTTCCACCACCACCACACACAAAGGAGAGAAAGGTGACGAGGTTGGCAAGAAAAGGGTGACGTATCTAGAATTTCAAAAGGTGGGAGGTGACGAAGAGGTTCATGGGGAGGCTAAGGGAAATGTGGGAAGGGAGAAGATGGCGGAGCTAAAGAAAATGAGGAAAGCAGGACAATGGAAAGAGGTGGGGTGGCAAAAAGTTGGTTATATATTTAAATTGGATCCTGATGATTGCTCCGATGATAATGTTGAAACGAAATCGTCTGCAAGGAGGTCAAAAGACATATACATATAAATCTTTTTCAACTCTATTCACTGCAAATTTCAAGTCATTCACACTTCTAGGGAGAGAAGTAATAGCTTCATGGTTTTTATATGCAATTAATATCAACTGACAACTTGGTTTTCCACAAATTCAATAATAGCTTTCAAAGAGGTTGGTTCTTTTTCATTCATACAGAGCCACATTTGCTTGTTCTTTTCCATAGACTCTGAATTCATCCAAGGCACTGAACAATAGAGTAATAACTTCGAAGAAATTTGCCCCATATAGCAATGAGAATGTAATGTAAGTCAAACTTATTCTCCATTTCCCTCACCTTTCCCTTTCCCTTTCCCTTTCCTTTTTCAAATCTATGATCCAAATACAGCATTAGCAAAGCTAATCAAATCGTGAGGCAGATACTAGTGTGATAACATTCCTGGTTGTACTTGACAGTATAAAATCCAAGTACCTGCAATCACCCAAACCACCATTGTTGGGCAAGGAGAGAACTTGAAATAGACTTCATGCATAATGAGGCTGAAGCTTCACCATTGTGCTATCCTATGTGTTTGGCTATTACTTTCACATTTCCTTCATTTTAATAAATGGTTTCTGGCTCATTCTCTTTCCCCCATTAATATTTTTCTTCTCTCTTGAATGAATCAACCAAAGAGCAAACATGTAGTCCTACATCTTAGCAAAACTAATCAACTCCTAGCCAACAAAATCTCAACAACTTTAGGGACCCTAACATGTTTAAAGAATATTGAAGGCAAACCTCCTGAAAACAAATCCATTTTGCTGTCGATGCAACCTACAACTTGGCATCAAAGCTAAAATTTTGTTGTCACCACATCCATTCTTTCCTCATTTTTTCCCCATGTCAAAGTCCCTGGTTTATGCACATAGGTATTTCCTAAATTGCTTCAGCTTCTCCCATTCTTATAGCTGGCAATGGCATCTCTGAACCGAGAATTCATGCTACCTAACTGCTTAAATTTTTGTTAAACATAGCTGCTCCACCGGAGGTTGTACTCAATTTTTCTTGACTGCATTTTCTCAACTTACAGATTTGATGACAAACATAAGCTAGTAGCCACTTGTTATTCTCTTTCGTTGCATTCTATGAGATTACAGTTTAAGAAGTCAACAACTTAGCAAAGTCATCCTAAGATACTAAAATACGATGATCACAGCAGTAGTAGAGATACAGATTAGGCCATCTTAGCAATCCACATTCTTGTAAGAGACTAAAGGCTGTGTAATTATTCACTTAGCTTGTTCTTAGTTGCTAGACCTTGGCTTACTTCCATCTAAAATTCTCTCTCCCCTGACAATTATCAAAGAATAGTTTGGAGTGGTTCTCCTACTGCAAACCAGACTACTTTAAAACAAAAATAGAAAACATCAGACCTGCTAATTGTAACAAGGAGTCATACTGAATACTTGGTTGTTAATCCTAATCCAGATTAATCAAAAAAACTCAACCCCCATTTTGTCTCTGGTTATCAAAGGACATTCCATGAAACATTCACATAACCGGAAGCAAAATGAACCGACCTCAAATAACTCTTAGGCAATTGGTGCATTATTCTTGTAATCAAGTTATACAATTGAAAACACAACATAGACATCATAAAACAGGTGAACCACAAAGGATTTTGAGTAGGAAACAATGTCAAACATATGCCAGAGACTCAATGAATTCAAAAGCGTCAAACCATCCACTAAAATTTAATGAACCTTCAAAAGAAAAACACTCATTATCAGGGCAACGAGGAACATCAAACAGCTCTCTAAAACTCTTGTCCCGAAAATTATACCGTATGACCTTACCAGGTATGTACAGCACTAAAAATGACTCCTCATCGTTCTCTTCCCGAATAAGATCCAGTATGACAAATTGATAGTAATACAAGTCCGACGGATCAAGTGAGCTGTGAATCATCTCCGGAAATGCATTCGGAATCGCATCAATATCAACCCGGTACTTGACAAACCACCCACAGTAGTCCCTCTCCATCTTATACACATTGAATTGCGTAGTGTGAGGACCGTAAATCTCAATGAGATGCAAATGATCACGAGACTCCCTAAAATACCTGAGCCTCCTCTCCTCCCAACCATCCGGGATAGGAGGCATCGGCATTGTTTCAAGACGCTCTTTGTCGACATTGAAATACAAAGAATCGCCACCTGAGGTGGAAATCCAATGAAGAGCACCATTCCAAAACACACCAAGATTGAAACTAACATCACCGGTGAAAGGGTCACCGGAGGGCGACCAGATCCCAGTTTCGGAAGAATAGATATCGAGTTCATAATGATCAGGCAATCCACAATAGAAATTAACAGAAACAACTTTGTAGTGAGGCGATTTGGAGGGATCAAAAGCTAAATTATAAGCATAAAAGGTAGTGTAACAGCGTAGAGGTGCGAGAACACGGCGAGGAGGTTGAGGAAGAGTAGCGAATTGACTAGTAGTAGGGTTATAGATGTATAAATGGAGACCTCGACAGAGTAAGAGACCATTGCAGGACTGTAAAATTCGCAAATCGGAGGGATCGTGGACGAAAGTTAGGGCATTGAAAGGGGGTTTTGATGGGGATTCGTAATTGAGGAGAGAGAGGAAATCGAAATCAGGATGGATTTGGTGGGAATCGCGGTACAAGAAGAGGCCGGAAGGTCGGGGGTTGTTGGGATTGGGGATCCCGCCCAAGACCTTATAGAAATCATTGCAAGTAGAAAAACACACCCACACTCAAGGAGACACAATATTTAACGTGGTTCGGCCTCAATGCCTACATCCACGGGAGAGTAGCCGATTATCACTATAACAATGGAGATATTACAGAGAGATTACAATAGAGGAGGAGCTCACACTCTCCTCACTCACACACTCACCCGTCTCCCTCGCTCACACCGAGAGAGACGGTCTCTCCGCCTCACATCTCTCACTCTCTTTGTTGTCTCACGGTTTGCTCACCCTTTGCTCTCTCCTCTCAACCTCCATTTATAGGTGAGGGAGTAGGTGGGAGAGCCTTTGGGCAGCCTCCATTCTTGACTCTTCAAGATGGTTGGTGGCCGCCAAGGTGGACTTTGGTTGGTTGCCTTCCCATTGTTGCCAACCAAACTTGACTTGGATGATCACCACACATGGGTGAATTCAACAAACTAAACCAGACAAAAAAAGAGCCAAAATAGCTCAGAGCACAGCTGGCGAACCCCCCTTCCCCTCGCCAAAATTCGCTTGTCGCCGAAGGTGACGCCGCAAATCGCACCAAGAATCGCGTCGAAAATCTCCTAGAACCTTCCCTCAATAATAATACTTATTCTCTTTTCTACTTCTTCACTTCACCTATTGGATCACCAAAAACGGACTCCAAATGGCTTCGATCTAGCCAAAACATTTTGTACGCCTCAGATCTGCGGCTGTACCTTCGCCGCAGAGCACTGGATCCCTCCTCTGGATGCTGACGTGGCAGATGACATAGCACAATCTGCTGACGTGTCGATGACGTGGACTGCCACGTGTCGCTGACCTGTCTGCCACGTGGCAGTACGACTGGCATCTTATGCTGACGTGTCTGATGACGCGGTTGCTGACGTGGCGCCCCGTGGCCTGCGCGTGCCTTACACGCGCCTTCCCCACTTACCTTCTTCCTTCAGCCGCGCGTGAGGCGCGTGCTTGAGACTGGGACCACGCGCCGGTTGCCTGAACGGCGCGTGGTGGCGCGTGCCGCGACTGGGTCTCACGCTCCTTCTTCAAGAGGCGCGTGAGGGCGCGTGGGACCTCCTCTGGGTGTCTACTTTATATGGTTGGACTCCTTTTCTCGAGCCCTTGCTCCTAGTATGCTCAAAACCTGATTTTGAGCAACTTGATTTCTGGGCAGTTTCAAACAACACGCTGTTTTTGTTCCGAAACGCCACCGACGAGGCTCTGATACCACTTGTTGGGATCGGGGATCCCGCCCAAGACCTTATAGAAATCATTGCAAGCAGAAAAACACACCCACACTCAAGGAGACACAATATTTAACGTGGTTCGGCCTCAATGCCTACATCCACGGGAGAGTAGCCGATTATCACTATAACAATGGAGATATTACAGAGAGATTACAATAGAGGAGGAGCCTACACTCTCCTCACTCACACACTCACCCGTCTCCCTCGCTCACACCGAGAGAGACGGTCTCTCCGCCTCACATCTCTCACTCTCTGTGTTGTCTCACGGTTTGTTCACATTTTGCTCTCTCCTCTCAACCTCCATTTATAGGTGAAGGAGTAGGTGGGAGAGCCTTGGGCAGCCTCCATTCTTGACTCTTGAAGATGGTTGGTGGCCGCCAAGGTGGACTTTGGTTGGTTGCCTTCCTATTGTTGCCAACCAATATTGACTTGGATGATCACCCCTTTCACACATGGGTGAATTCAACAGGGGTTTGGGTGGGTGGTTCGGAGGTGAAGGAAGTGGGGGTTGGTGATGAGAGAGAGCCAGTGTTTGGATACAGATTTGAATCGGAGGAGTGATCGTATCGGCAGATATAGTAAGATTTGATTCAACAGATCGTCGTTGTTTGCCACTGTTTCCGACGATGAGGGGTTGGGGTTGCGCTTGGCCGTCGAGGCGTCGGCCATTTCTACATAGAATTGAGCAGCATGTTTGTATTTGGGATTGAAGAAAATTTTCTGAGCTATTTGACCAAAATACGTTTTTTGTTATTCAAAACTAAATAGTTTTAGGCCAAGTTTGGGAAGATCCAAAAAAGCCAAAAAGTCAAAAAGTTACTCAAAAAGCTAAAAAGTTAACACTATTCACCAAAAGTCAGTTAACACTATTCATCAAAAGTCAACAATTACGGTTGCACAACTCCCAATTCGAATTTTACCCTACAAATCAATTTTTACAATTTTTTATTACACATTTTTCAATAAAAAGTCAAAAAGTTAACCCAAACATCCATATTTTCAACCTCAATTTTTTATTCCAAAAAGACAAAAAGTGCACTTTTTTAGTCTTCCCAAACTTGGTCTTAGTGTGCTAGGAATAAATTTTAAATTAGGTTTAGAGTCTAAGATTGTTTGGAATGATATAATTAAAAATATTTTTTAATTTTTTATAAAAAGATATATAGAAAAGTAAAATGTTGATGTGACTTAAAAGAATAATACTACATGTATCAATTAGTGTACCAATTAATGATGTAATATAATTTAAGATATTTTTAATAATTATAATTTATATAATAAGTGGGGTCAATAATAATGTCATAACTAGTGTTAATATACTAATTAATATACTAATTGATAAATGTAACACCACCAAATCCAAAAAAAAAAAAAAATTGCTTGTATAACACCCCCAAACAAACTCTAAATAGTAATAACCAAGTTTTATTATAAAAAAAAAAGTTATTTGTTTATAATAATATTTTTTTTTCATTTTTAATCATTTTGAGAAAAAAGTTACTTCTATGTTAGTAATCATTCTTTTTTTAATAAAAAAAAATATGATTAATTATAGGATTTTTTTTTTATTGAGTAAATTGGTGATAAATCTAATATAAAAATGTTGTAAGCCATTATGTTCGGTGATTTTTTTTATTAGTGAGAGATTTCCATCATTTATGGAATAGTTTGGTGAAATTTTTTTTTGTTTGTTTTGCATGATATTTTATTTTCAATTTTATCTCTTAATATATCTGTTGACTTTCGTTGGTTATCTGTTCAATTTTTTTTCTTCTTTGTGCAAAAACATTTCTTATCTGTTCAAAATTTTGCCTATATGTTCAAATTTATATCTATCTATTCAATGTTTTTCCTTATCTGTTCAATTTTTTCTCTTTACCTGTTCAAACATCTATCTAAATTTTATTATCTGTTCATTTTTCGCTGTCTGTTGAAATATCAAGCCCCTATCTATTCAAATCTTTATTTTTTTCTGCCTTTCTATCTGTTGCCATATGTTTTATGATTATCATCATCAGCAACAACAACAACATATATGTTCATTTTTTTTCCTATTTATTGAAATATCTTTCTTTCTCTCCATATCTGTTGAAATATTTGTCTATTATAAATTTGTTTCTTCATCAACAACATTCATCATCATCATCAAACAACAACGATCAACTACCTCCCCTCAAAAGAAAAAAAAAAAGATAAAAAGATAAAGAACAAAAATGCTCTCTGCTAAAACAAATAAAAAAATACACATGGATACAGACATTCATATGTCTGACTAGTTTTATAGATTTCACCACACACTCATACATACTATAACACTTGGGTGTTTTAATCTATTGGAAGGTGTGCTTAATATTTTATTTTTGTTTTTGGAGTCTTTGGAGTTGTTGTATATTGGTTTTGAAGGAGTACAATCCGATTTAAACTTGTATGTTGAGTCTTCTCAAAAAGTTCCTTGGAAACTTAGGGATTGTTTAGGATGATTTAAATAAGTGCATTTTTTTGTCTTTTTACGAAAAGATGTACAGAAAAGTAGAGAAGTGATGTGATGGAAAAAAGATAAAAAGATGGATTATTTAGGGGATGCCAAACCACGCCTTAGAAATTCTGCTTTGGAGTCAACACTAGCCTTCCTAAGGGTCGACCCTTGCATGTTGTAATGTTGCTGGAGGTGTTGCTGGAATTTAGGGTTGACACCAGCCTTGTTGGTCTTAAGGATCGACATCAATTTGGGAAGGATCGACGATTGTATATTATAGAATCTGTCTGTTAGTTGTTGGAAAATAGGGTCAACCCTCCCTGTCTAAGGGCCGACCCCATGCTTGCTGTCAGATTGTTTTTTCTACCTGAAGGGTCAACCCCTCTGCCCGAAGGGTCGACCCCTACGTGTTTGTTTTCAGAATTTTGGGGTTCGAATGGGCCCAACTTTTGGGGGTTTTTGGACTTATCTTTTTTTCATTGACCTTAGGGCTATTATCTACTACTATAAATAGACCCAAACAACACCTCACTCATAATTTTCTTCTTTTTTTCCTCTCAAAACCGAGAGTCTCTCTCTCTTTCTCTCAAAAGCTCACTTTTTCCACTTCAATGCTTAGATCTATACTCTTAGAGGTGTCTTCTCACCTTGATCCTTTGAGATAACTTGAAGATCTTGTCAAGGGCTTTTTATTGGTCTGAGAAGTTCGTGGCTTCATCAACCTTGAGTTTTTCTGGTTTTCTTCCTCACGACTTGAAAGTAGGAACATTTTTACCTTAGTATTTCTTTGTTTTGAAGGGATTTCATGGTATAGTTGTGATTTATAAGTTAATTGGAGAGTATTATTGGATTAATCTCATGTTTTACATAAATAAATCATTTTACTTGAGTCTTGCTTGAGATTTCTTTACTCCCTCTTTTCAAAACATGTATATAAATGTTAATACAAGCCATATCTATAATAGAGAAGACAAAACCCCCAAATTTGGTAAAAACCCTAGATTCTCCATTTGATTTAAAAACACCACATTGAATGGGGAGTTTCCTTGATTCATGAAATATTGTGAATAATACATAGAGGAAGGACGTGGATGTTGATATAGTAAAAGAATTGTGGCTTGGATGTTATTTTTTTCCTTAAATCTTGTGTTGTATTCAATTCTTGGGTAATGTTGAATGGTTGTTGATTGAATAAAATGTGAATGAATTGTTAATTGTGCATTGTGTTAGTACCTGCGCGGGAAGTTTAAAAGGGTGCTCAAATGCCCTGTCTAGGCTTATCGCTGGACGAATGTGGGAAAAATATTTTTGGGTGTCTGCACAGTCCGGCCGTATGATAGCCAGCAAAAGTGAAAAAATGGATGGTTTTCTTTGGGGTGCCTACTCCTTGCCATATAAGAGCCGACAAATGTGGGGGGTGGTTTTAAAACGAAAGCAAAGGGTGTTTTAAATTGGACTCTTACAGGTGGACTCATGGCTTGCGTTCTATGGTTGTGAATGTTTGATTGTTATGCTTGATGACATGAATAGTCACTGTTATTATTTGGTTGTTATGGGTCTCTATGTTTGTTAAGGATTACATGTAAAGACAAATTTCCATGTAACGTTTGGTCACAAAGATACCATAATCTTATTCAAAGGATTAAATAATTGGTTAAATGTGTTCCTACTGGGCATATAGCTCAACCCTATCTTATTTTTCAGGAATTGATGGAGTTCTACCTCCCTGAAAGATTGGTCAAGCAATAACTCTTTTTGGAAAAGTTGATCCATGTGTATTTTGTTATTTTGAATTGAAATTTTTGTAACACAACTATTAATTTATTTTGTTGTAATTGTATGCCCTAGAGGCTTATATTTTGTAAGGCCACCTAGTTCATTGAACTGGAATACGAATTCTAAACATTATGGGAATGTGTATGGTGAATTGTAACCTCTTATCTCTTAGTTCAATGAGAAGGTTGACTTTTTGGGTATATTATTGTATTTGTTTTGGCATATTCTTGTGGGAAAATTTCAGGGCGCTACACATACATACATACATATGTGTATATCTAACTAGTTATGTTGATTTCACCACACACTCATGCATACATACTGTGATAACCCTGTTCCTTATTATGCTAATTGGTCCTTAATACAAATGTGATTATGTGTTTTGATATGATTTTGTGTGATAAAAATATGTGGTTTTGAATTTTTATCTGTTCACCGTAGGAATATCTATTTGATTATCTGCTTTGGAATTTAAATTGAAGGCCCTATCGGCCACCGAAACCGAAATTGATTACGCCATTGTGATTGGCATAATTTTTAGATAATTTTTAACAAAGAATTTACTAAGTAAGTTACGGAGAATTTACTGAGTAATTTATGGAGTAACGTACTAAATAATTTATTGAGAAAGTTACTGAGAATTTAATGAGTAATTTGCTGAGAATTTACTTGTGATAACCCTGTCCCTTATTATGTTAATTGGTCCTCAATACGAATGTGATTATGTATTTTGATATGATTTCGTGCGCCACTAAGTGAAAATATGTGGTTTTGAATTTCTATCTGTTCACCGTAGGAATATCTGTTTAATTGTCTGCTTTGGAAATTAAATTGAAGGCCTTATCGTCCACAGAAACCGAAATTGATTACGCAATTGTGATTGGCATAATTTTTAGAGCCTACGGTGAAATTTAATTAGAAATTGATTTGGATCAGATTAAATTGATTTAATTAGCGAATTAGTGCCCCATTATTTGATATTAAAATAATGTGACCAAATGGGCTTTTAATAAAGGTACTATACACTCAATTTCTCCCTTTTATCTTCATTTTGGCTGATTATAAACTCTAAGAAAGGGATAGGGTCGGCTAGAGAAGGAGCAAGAGGGAAAATTATGTGTTTGGCTCACGTTTGAAAAATTGGAAGGTTGAACTCAAGAATTAAGCATACATTGGAGAGATTGAGCTTCTAGGTGAGTAATCAACCCTTTGACTCATGCGTTTGATTTGTAATTTTTGGGGATCGAAGATTAATTAGTGAGTTAGACTATGGATTGAGTTGTGTTTGTTGAATTTAAAGTCCATAGATGCATGCATGTAAGAAATTACCTTGAATTTCCATATTTGAGCACAATGTGTATGATCCATGTTGAAATTTTGGTTTAAGACCATGTACTTGATCATCTTTTCACCAATTAAGTCGATATGAATGAATATTTCTCACATGCAAGAGTAGATCATGGAGGTATGAGCTTTGCATGTTT